TTCAGTGACAATAAAACATATTGCTTATTTATTTGTATTGCTATTAAGGCTAAAAAATAATCAAAAAATTAGTTTAGAGCATTATAATAAATATACTCTAGAGATGGGATTGAAATAAATCTCAATTCCTATAGTCAACAAAACAATGTCGTTATCTGTATAAGCATTACCGTTTCAATTTTTGGTTAATAAATGTAAGTTTTTGTTAATTTCTTATTAAAATAAACAATGTTATGGAATATTAGTTATACACTTTTGAGGCTGTGAGAATTAAATATTGATTCACGTATATTAAAGGCAAAATGTAGTGTGTGTTGCCTACAACCGCCTACTTTTAAACTGCGTTAACGATACCTACATGGGATGAGACGAGAGACCAAAGTTACTTCTCGTACTTAAATATCTACTAACCTTGCTTCTCGTGGCTCTTATAACTTGAGATGCGCGAGAATCAATAGTTGGTTCTTGCGATTATATAACCATACGTCTCGTCACGCTTTTCATAGTAGCATTGATTATAAACCACAAAACCACTCTTAGGTAAAAACGAATTCAGTGTTAAACTCCGCCCACTTACACCTCTTTGCCTCTCTCGCCTAAGTACTACCTGACTGTATGGTTGCACAGTTTAACCACAAGTTTCTTTTTTATACTATGATGGTAGCGACATTAATTGAAATCTTTGCCTAGATTGAAAAATAAATTTGAGTTCCCTGCTAAGACGATTGTGTAGTGCAATAGGAGACAATATGATGGCATTCAGCATTTTCACAAATAATTTTAACGTGCTTGTAATCGATATTATGAAATTCCGATTTTACTTCAGAAAAAACGCTAAAAATTGATTAATGATAACAGTAAAGGTTTTCTAAAAATTATTTATTTATCAATACAATACAAAAAAATATAAACAAAACATAAAATATAAAATACATAATAAAATTAGCAGTGATAAATTACATTACATTTTATTATTTCTTGTTCTCAAGAAGTGTTATACTTTTATTATTGACAATATCGAAACATTTTATTATTAAAAGTCGAGAAGAATTTTCTGAGGAAACGTACATACATATTTATATAAACGTGCTATAAAAATGAAGATATATTACTCTTGAGAAGAATTAATATTTTTTAACAAATAAAAGATATAGGTAGAAAAAGAGGTTTTCATATTTATTTTAAGTACAATTTGTAACGTTTCTGGTTTGTTTACTGTTGTGGCTGTCAGTCTGTTGAATTGTTTGCTGTTTATTTGTCGAATTTTTGCATTTTGAAGTTTATTTACCTTTACTTTGATCGAAAATAAGTATTTTTCTGTGAATCTTTTCCCTTTTAGTTTTTCTTTGCTTTCATTAACGTTATACCACTGACAAGTTTTTACAAGTTTGATTTTTACCAAAAATTTTATAATTTTTCTTTTATGGTCTTCACAGCTTTCAAGCCAATTAGTAGTTAATAAAATATGCTTAGTCACATAGGTTTCAATTTTCAAAAAAACTGCATTATCTACTTTAAATACATTAAAAGCCTCGTGAAACTTTTCTAACAATATTGTAGTAATAGTAACAAACAAATCTGATGGTCTCTGAAGAAACTTTATTTCTTCGTTTGCGACATAATCTCTGAAAAGTAACATTAATTCGTGTTTCTGTAATAGAATTTTATTGTCTTTTAGCAAATCTTCCTGGCATTTAATACAATTCAAATTCTTTATAATCTTATAGTAAATATAACCAGCGACATATGTAACAGCACACGTTTCTAAATGTATGCTAGATTTGATGGAATTTGCCGCCCTTAAAATTTGGTTGTCATTATTTTCCTTTTTCTTGTCTAAAGATTTTTCTACATGAACTGTTTGGGTTTCAATGGACTCATCAGATATTTCGACGCTAGTTACTTCGTGGGTTAAATCTAAATTAACAGTTTGTGCTATTTCACAATTTTCATTGTCTAAAGCAATTTTTAGTTTAATATTTGTGTTATGCTTAATGGCAATTTTTAACTGACTAACACTAGGTGTTGGATTGTAATCACCCCTATTGCGCACAATAGAGAAAAATTTTTCTAGAGTATCATGGTTCAAAATCCACAAGGAAAATAATTCCTGTAGCTGGCTGTATACCACGTATCACAAAAAAGAGGTTAGATCTTTGTAAATGGGTATATTTAAAAAATCCTTAACAGGGCTACATCAAATAACACGAACGTTTTCGGAATAATAATTCCATCATCAGGTTTAAAAATGCAAGGTTCACATGCCTGAGCCACCAAAATATCAGGGTAAAAACCCTTTAAAATATATGCAGTTACAAAAGATTGTACATAATGTTGTTATAAATATGTGATGTTTAATATTAAATTAAATTTGACTTAAGGTAACATACACCCATGGTTTGAGTGAGTTCCAGTGTCCGGAGGGTAAACCTCTTCAAACGGACTACAGCTGGTAACTTGTGTTCAAAAAGATGTTAAAAGATATGACACATTATATTTTTGAAGTTCCTCTCACAAACATAAAACTGACAAAATTGTCCACTGAGAGCCGCGTAGACAGTGAATATTATTTCTCTCTTGCTGATTTTCAAAAACTTTAATTTTTTAAAAATATTCTAAACCTGCTTTTAAGTTTTCAGTTGACTTGCTTAAAGTTGACATTGGCTTTCTGTTTGTATTACTATCACTACAATATTTGCTGTTAAGACCATCAAAAATATTATTTATAATTTTCAAAAATTCGGCAGTATGAGGAGCCGTTTTAGTGTGTAACTGCCCTACAGCTATTGCTGTTGATATTGCTGAGGCAACTGAGTTGGAAAAAATTTGTGCTGCTAATTTTACACGCATTTTTTGAAAATTATTAGGGTTTATATGAACGTCTGTTATTTTCACCATGCATTGTCCTCTTACATTGGTTCTATCGATGTTGTATGTGTATTCAATATCTTGCCACAATATTTGTTTAGAATCGGCAAAAAACGTCAACTTTTTGTTAAGAAAATTATTTCTTAGACTTTTTAATAAGTGGGGTGTATCAAACACAGTAAAAATCCTCTGATTTCCTATTTCTATTGCAGGCTGATCCTTACATACGCCTAATAGCTTATATAAAGCTCTATTATTAGATGCTTGATCGCACACTAACAGTTTTGGTATATACCCAATATTTTGTAATTTTGAAACAACTTCAACTACAATGTTTTTTAAGTTGTCGCTATGTATTGGACCACCTGTAACAAAATAACAAATCGGAATCTTCCAGTTATGTAGCAAGCCGCGCATCATGAAAAGCAGACCTGTGTTGGCAAGTTTGTTTGTTCTTCCTAAAGCACCTAAATCCCTTCTATAATGTCATCTAATTTATTGTACTCCAATTATTTTTTCAAAGAAATTTCATCAAACATTAACACACAAATTTTTTCCCACTCATACATTGTCTCTGCTTTTTTCTTCTACTTGTCAATTAAGGAAGTGTCAATTAAGAGATCTAATTAAAAATTTGTAACAACTAGGAGACTTATAATAAATGGCCAGAGCTAAATCCTTTTCGTTGTGACTCCATTGTGAACGAGTTTTGTGTAAAACTGCATATTAACACGTGCACGTATTTGCTTTTATTTTCTAACAGTACCTGTAACATGAATTTGGTTGCCGATTTTCTGTTTTTTGTTGTTCTTCTACAACGCTGACTGTTCTTCTGACGGCACTTCATCTTTAAAGCATTTACTGATACTCCAATTTTTTTACCTTCTCCATCAATTCACTTTCAAGTTTTGTGGTTAAATTAATTTCAAAACTGGAAATATCACTGAGACTACTACTTGATCTCTTAGGCGATGGAGTTGACCTAACTATACAATCGCCACTTGTAGATCTTTTACGTTTTGTACCGCAATAAACGTATGTAGAACATACTGGTGAGGTATCACCTAAAATAGGTAATCATTGAAATATATGTGTAATTTTAATTAACGCAAAACAAGCATGTCCATTATTTCTGGAGTGATACTAACAACGCATTCATATTTAAAAATAATCTCTTTTGATTTAATTGTATAAATTTATATATGAATCACTCAATATCAACTAATTTTATATAACATATATTTTAATAGCATTACTCTCATTGACAAACCGCATTACGCAAACATAAAAATATTTCTAAAGTTGAGTACTCACCTAAATCAGTTGGTGACTGTGTAAATTTTAGAGGAAGAGCATTTTTCCTTAATAACTTTCTTGGCCACTTTGGTAAATATGTTCCACTGCAAAATGATGCTGTCAAATTTCCCACTGTTTTAGGTCACTGATATCCATCAATATAATATCAATATTCCTGCAGTTTTTTTGCCAAATTTTTGTGCTCTACGTCTTTCAGGGAAAATTTAAAGAAAGATATATTATTATTTGTTCCATTGTTTCTTTCAAAAGATCCCGCGTAAACACATTTATGCGTTACAGAGGCCATTTTATCTAAAATGTGAGTCCTTTTTTTATAAAAATTTCGCTATAACTTGTCACAACACTTGACACAGCTAATACACTTATAGGGTAAGTTCGGCCCTGACACTACTCCTATCTCCTCGCAAGTCAGAGAGAGAATGATAATCTGGATACGGTTTTCGAGTAACGCCATCTAGTTTTTGATACGTCTTTCGGATACCACGAGGTGAGCTATCTAGGTAGTGGTTTATAATCAATGATAGTAGTCAACTTGTTAAGAATCTCTTTTTTGAAAAGCCTAAGAAATAGTATGGATTCTGCTTAAAATGACTCTAGAGCAGTTGACTCAAAAGTTTATGATGGGTGTCAAGTAGTGTTATCTCTGTAACAGTACTTATAGAAGTTTTGAGAAATTTTTTAAATGCTTTAAATATCGTTAGAACGATTATGAGGAGGATTTAATATTTAGTCACACATTGATCTATTCTAATTATCGCATTATGATGTTAATAGTTTTTTTTATTTAATTAATCCCTTATATTAAATGTTTTTAGGTTTTGTAGATAATCCGTTCATTACAGCAGAAATGGCGCGTAAAGTTGAAGATACGAAGGGAGTGTTTTTTATACCAGCATTTAGTGGTTTAGGGGTAAGTCTATCATTCACTACCAAGGTAAATAAACATAATTTAAACTTTTGTTGATTACGGATTTCATATTTTAAACATTGCACGAAAAATTTGAAAATGATATAGAAAATATGGAATATATCAACCATAGAATCCTGAAAAACGACCTTAATTATGGAAAGCACTAACGTACATATCACATTATTTTTTCGGTTCAGTTTGGAAGGTGAAATAGTGAGTGTTCAAGATACAATGGACAATATACAGAATATGGTAATTTTTGGAGATTTTAATGCAAGTGTCGGAGTCGGAAATAACAGCATATAGTGGGACACATAAAATCTAAAATAGCGGGTGAGACATATTATATGAAAATATTTACATTTAAGTGAGTGTCAGAAAACAATCAAATAAAGCAGCTTCTATATACAGGGTGGTTCTTAACGGTCCTTAAAAAGAAACAGTAAATTTTATACTTTAAAATATTACGATTTAAGCCGAATTGCTTTAATAAAATGTTGATATTAAGAAAGATACAGGGTGTTAAGTGGAAATGTAAAATTTTAATTTTGGCTATAAATTTCATGTTTGTGAACATTTATATAACTGGGTACTATTGAACATTAGGAATTATAATTTGATGCACACTTTAATGTAACTGATAGAGGGCGCCACATATGTGGCATACATTTGCACTTAAATTTTTTGTTTTTTAAGTTACCGGTGTTTGTGATAAAAAATATTAAAGATACATTACTTTAACAAAAAAAGGTATACTTGTTAATAACTTCAAAACTCAACAGTTTTCGAGATAATCGCATTTTACAAATCAACTACATAATTCTGATTTAACGTAATTACTCCAGGCAACGAAAGAAAATTGGACAAAAACATCAATATTTCTGAATTTTGGTATAAAATGCCTTTAATAAAGTTAATAGTTAACGAAATATTAAATAAAATAAATATATCAGCAGAATAGTTAATAGTAGGATTTGACAAAATAACAGAATACTTGGATTTTACATCAAACATTTTACGTTTTGTATTAAATTAAAGTCATAATCAAAATATTTTATTTATAAACCAAATTTAGAAATAGCTAAACTAAATAACAATAAACTTTTTGTCAAAGTAAGTGTTCGATAGTAGCGATACTCAATTCGAGAACACCGTTCGATATGTCCACCATTTTCTTTAATTCATTTGCCAAATCATTCTATAAAAGAACGTCTCATATAAAATAGCATAATTGGTTTTAAAGAAAATGTTGCAGTATTTATTATAAGTATTATAAGTATAATAATAAGTATTCTTTTGGGATTTTTATGCATTAAGTAATTATATTAATATCTCATCACATGACCAAGAAATATAACTACCACGAACAATCCAACGTTGAGGAAAGTTGTATTTAAGTATGTTCTCACAGCCCTCTCTCTATAATGTGGTGATGTACCATCTTGCATAAACCACATATTTCGCCTTAAGTTTGATGACAATTCTTCCAAAAAATCAATAAAACCATTTTATAAAAAATGTAAATAAATCTCAGCATTCAAATTACTAGGTAATTCGCATCTCCGTAAAAAATAATTACCAACGGTTCCAAACCATATGTCTATTTAAAATTCATGTTTAAAATGCATCTCGTATGGTTTGGTATTGACCGAACGTCGAGAACTAATCTCAGAAGACAACGGCCTAACAGCCCGAACAAACAGTTTAACAAGTTAGACGATGGTCGTGAAATCCTAACGCAGTTTATCAAAAGGAATGCTCGTTGAAAACTACAAAGAAGTGTAGGAACTATCTTCTTGAAGAATTATTAGGACCTAAAGAATTCCTTCTAATGCAATTAAAAAAGTGGGAAATAAAGCGCTACCTAAGCGGTGTTCAGAGTAGTTGCAAACATTTGTTCTGGCACGACATTATTACTCACCTGCGGCATATAAATATGTTAGGCGAACATTTGATACATGTTTACACCATCCTAAGTAGATGGTATACAGCTATAGTGAACCTGGTTTTACAAAGAAATTGTCAAGTACCTTTCAAATGTTAATCACTTAAATTGACTTGAGAAAATATTCCAACATTGTACCTTTCCTATGTGCTACTTCAGATGAATGATCATCATCATCATCATCATCATTTTGGCTTTACAACCCTGTGTGGGTCTTAGCCTCCCCACGAATTATCTTCCAGTCGTCCCTATCCATCGCCTTTCTCCGCCAAGCACGTATTTCCATATTTCTCATATCTTGGTCTATGTTATATAGGAATCTTGTTCTGGGTCTTCCTCTTCTTCTTTGACCAATAGGTCTATCAAGGAGCATTTTTCTAGCTGGGTCGGTTTGCTCCATCCGCATTACATGGCCTACCCACCTCAGACGTCCTATCTTAATGTGTTTTACGATATCTGGTTCCTGGTATATTCTATAGAGTTCGAAGTTGTATCGTCTTCTCCAGACACCATTTTCATTTACCGCTCCATAGATTCGCCTTAGTATTTTTCTTTGGAAACATCCTAACATGCTTTCATTGCTTTTTTTAAGTCCAGGTTTCTGAACCATATGTTAGGACTGGGCGCATTATTGTTTTGTAGAGTTTTACTTTTGTATTTCTTGATATAACTGTAGATTTAAAAAGGAGATTAAGCCCAAAATAGCATCTATTAGCCGTGCAAATTCTGCGGTTTATCTCTGCGGTAGTGTCATTTTCAGTATTGACGAGCGTTCCCAGGGTATACAAATTCGTTAACTGCTTCGATGACGTCGTTTTCTATAACAAGTGGCCGTAGTATTTGTGGTTGCTGACCTATTTTCATGTATTTCGTTTTATTAATGTTTATTATTAAACCCATTTTTGTAGCCGCTTCCTTTAGTGCTACATACGCCTCTCGTGCTGCGTTTTCCGTTCTCCCAACAATATTGATATCATCAGCATATGCTAGGATTTGCACAGATTTGTTATATATTGAACCGATAGTTGTGATTTGTGACGTACTTATTACTTTTTCCAGAGCTAGATTGAATAGTATACAGGAGAGTGGGTCTCCCTGACGTAGCCCGTTATTTGTATTAAAAGGTTCAGAGAGTTCCCCCTGGATTCGTACTCTCCATTCAACTTTTTCAAGGGTTAGTTTGGTTAGACTTACCAACTGATTTGGTACTCCTAGGTCTATCATTGCTCTAAACAATTCTCTTCTATTTACAGAGTCGTAGGCTGCCTTGTAGTCTATAAATATGGGGTGCGTGTCTACACCGTATTCCAGTGTTTTCTCTAGAATTTATCTCAGGGTTGAAATCTGATGAATTGTTGATTTACCACCTCTGAAACCAGCCTGGTATTGTCCTATTATTCGCTCTGCATACGGTGCCTTACGATGGCATAGTATATTAATGAATATTTTATACGCTGCATTTAAGAGCGTAATTCCTTGATAGTTAGAGCATTCAAAGATATCTCCCTTTTTGTGTATGGTGCAAAGTGATGAATGATCTATCGGCACAATTTTGGAAGAATTTACATGTCTATTTCTTTGTAATTTTAACTTTTGTTTTTGTCATTATTCCAGTTTTATATGAATATTTACCTTTTAAAACTTAATGTAACTTATAAAATTACATTAAAGTTAAATAAGAAACAATTAAATAAAACACTTTAGGGGAAGGCATTGTTACTTAAGGGATTTTAAAAATATTCTGTTACTATGTACTTTAGCTATACATATAGCTAAATTGTTTCATACAAGATTTTCATTAATTAAACAATTTTCTTAAATATTACATATTTTTAGTAATAAGTCAGGACTTCCTTACTGTAAGGAAATGTCATTTCCTTACTGTAAGGAAATGATATTTCCGTACAGTTGTTAGTGTTCTACATAAATGATAGAAAACACATTGCTTATAAGGAATTAATTTATATTTTGAAAACATCAAGTCATTGCTGAATACATTTTTAAGATCAATTTGTTATATTTACAGTAATTTGACAGTTAGTACAATTATTGAACATTGGAGGAACACTCTTAGAACTATGAGAAACATTTTGGACAACATGCAGGGTGGAAGTGTCATTTTGTTGAATATTTTGTACTGTGAAAATTTTATTTGCCACCTCAACCTTATTGTTAAGCGATTCTTCGATATATCCTTCAGCAGCGTTTGATGACTTCCATCCGCCATGCCTCTTTAAACTAGTTATGTCGGCACCAGAGTCAACCAATATTGTTGCAGAAGACCGACGAAAGCAGTGACCAGTATATTCTTTCGGATTTACCAAGTTCAAATAAGTAGCAATTATTTTGGGCATTTTTCTAAATTGATGAATTCCTACCACTTGTCTACAACCCTTTCCGCTTTGATATTTAAAGAAAAATCGGTCACTGTTCATATTTTCTGGTCTTAACGAAACATACTTTCAATAAACATTCAAGTATATCTGATTAATTACAAATGATCTTGGTTTGTTGGTTTTCGAATCAGGTATGCTGATTAAAAGCTTAGATTCTAAGTCTTCTATATCGTGTACAGTCATTCGGACTAACTCATCCATTCTACAGGCCCCAGAAATACCAAATATTACAGCCACCTAAAAAATAAATAAAGCTATAATCTAAATAGAAATTAAAACCTTGTAAATTACCTTAGTCATTAAATTTTCTTTATCTGGAGCTTCCTGGATAAATTTTTCAATTTCTTCCTTCGTTAAAATCTTGGATTTCTTTGCCCTATAACCTTGAGCTTGCCATTTCAATAAAGAACGAAGTTTTGAGTATGTAGATATATCTACATTGTGTTTAAGTGCAAGGGTTGACTTCAGCATTGAATAATTGGCCCATAATGTTGAAGATTTCATCTTTAAACAAAGGTCTAGGAAGTATGCCATTACAACATTTTCTGAGAAAGAACTCGTATTTTTACTCATGCGATAATCCATAAAACGTCTGTATGCATTTTCGTACTTTTCTCTTGATTTCTTTGGCAATAATTCTAATGAAGCAGTATTCACTGCCTCAACCAGCTCTGGAGGAGTCCCAGGAATGGAAATTTTATCATCACTTATCATTTTACTTTCGAGAACACCAGCAATTAAATTTATAAGCGTCAAGTTTGACAATTCAACCTCAATACGTTTCCATAGTAACCCAAGTAATTTTATTAGGAATTTCAAAGCACCATTTATTTGGGAATAAAATTATCGCGTTTTTTTTTTAAATTAATCAATATCTGTCGAATTTTAAACGATTTGCGGAAAAGTAGTATGTTTACCTCGTAGGAAAAGCCACATTCCTGGGCTCTGTGTTGCTAAGTCTCGGCTTGCGCCTCGACTTAGCAATCTTCACAGTCGTCCAGGAATGTTAAGCTTTTCCTACCCGGTAAACAATGTACTATAATTCCATAAGATATCACGCAAACTCCATAGTATTAATATATTCACCAAAACTAAGTTGAAGAATCGGAAGTTTAGGTAGAAGAAATTTACATAAAGGTGCCGTAAATATAGCTTGAATTAATTTGGACCTGCCCTTCGCCATATTGGATAGTACATAGTGTCAAATTAGGTGGTCCCATTTATTAAATACAGAAATATCGTTTGTGTCATATCCTATCTCTTACATATCTCTGGAAGAACCGTTATTTTGTGACGCTGCCCTTGACACCTTCTCGTCGTGGTGCTAGTTGTGTGGCGCTCGCCTCAGTATTTTACTATAGAGAAAAAAATAATACCATGCCAGTATAGAAGTTTTTGCTTTAATAAGATATCTCAAAAATACAGGATATTGTACGATTTTCATAGGCTATATAGAATAGCAAGATATTTAAGTTAAAAGATGACGAGATAGATTGTAGTCAACGGCACAAATAGGAAGCACAAATCTACAGCCTAAAGGTCGGACAATAACAGGCCTATGGCCTAATATAACAAGTATTATTTTAAATACGAATCTAGAAAATTTATCAATTTATTTTATCCTTAATATTCTTTAGCCTCCGATTAACGACGAGCAAGCTGGTACAGGATTTATAGGTATTAAACCTGTTACAAAAAAAGAACATTTAGTTAGAGCTGTTCTTGAGAGTATTGTTTACCAAATAGTCAAGACTGTGGATTTCTTAAAGATTGAAAGGGTAGCAGACTATTCATCAATTAAGTGAGTATATTCTAAATTACTGTTTTAAAAATACTAATTTGAAATGTAAAAATTATATGTTAAACTTCAATTTATGTAATTAATTCTTAAAAGAAACAAATTTTATGTAAGAGATACACAAAATACAATTTTCTTCATAGCATATTCTAAATTACTGTTTTAAAAATACTAATTTGAAATGTAAAAATTATATGTTAAACTTCAATTTATGTAATTAATTCTTGAAAGAAACAAATTTTATGTAAGAGATACACAAAATACAATTTTCTTCATAGCAAATACGGTATTGACTCAACATATGTCCAAGAGTGAACAATGTTTATAATGAGTTTCTGTTTCAATTTGCTTACTGAGCATATCAAACCTACGCTCCATTCCATTCCTCTTGCATTTCTTCCATCTTGTTATCTTATCTTATTATGTTATTTCTCTTATGGTAAATGCCACACGGCTTAACGTAGAATGACGTGTAAGTTATCATTGGAAAGGGGATGAAATATGTGAAAATGCAGTGTGTCATGCACATCGGAGCATACCAACAGGGCATTACGTCATATCTTAGTTTTTATTGGTCTGTCAAAACGGCACTATAGTGTATTTTCGTTGCTTTTGCTCTGATTTTGACGTGTGAGGTGTCAAATCAAAGTTCCGATAGCACAGAAACAATGCCAACTGCCAATGATTTTTCTTTTCCGTATAGTACCTAGCAGAATGTGACATTTGATGTATAACGTGACATTTATGTGATATTAGATATAGAACGTGATAGGACGTGACATTCGACATATGACGGACATTTATATGACATCATATGACTACTTCAATTAAGCCAAAACCCGTCTTTTAATAAAGGCATTACTCTGACTGATGCAAATTATCAGATTGCTTGCGACATTTTAAGGAAAATGTATCAGAATTAACGAATTCTTGCTACCCAATATTATAATGACATTTTGGATGCCCCAATTATCAACCATTCCACTTCTTCCAATTTAAGAACTTCAATAAAACATTCATTGAAATTTTTGGCGATTGACTTATTCTATATATTATATGTTGAACAAACTGAACATCAAAACTCAGATGTACAGATTTTAAATTAAAAAATAGTAGAAGCTGTGAAATAGCTGTGGCATAGTTTTGGAATCTCTCCAATTTAATTCACCAACTTTTTATACTTATTCTACTCACTCTCAATTATTTCTTCATCATTCCAATACAAAATCCGTTACTTCTAGATTCGTTAGTGCCATAAATCAACCTAAGATATCTAATCAAGGTGGTCAATGTGTCTTGTGTTTTGGTTTTCTCCCTTTATATAAATGCCCATCCTTTTTTGCTAAACGGCCTTAAGAACGTTTCTCGTTGGTTAAGAGCATCATTTACGTGTAAACAGCTTGATTTCATCTCATTTCGTTAAGAGCTGGAGTTCTTGCACAAATGTCGGGTTTGCAAATCACCGCATCGCGTTACTCTTCATTTTAACGAACTGTTCAATGAATATTGCTCCTTCAATCAACCGTTTCCTCAAACACTAAAATTAAGTGAGAACCTCAAATCTGTATGAGAGACGTTTTAAACAGCTCAGTCTAGTTTTGCTCTGACTTCTCGAATGAATACTAACTCTTCTACACAACCACGTTTCACGTCACCATCTGTATTGTTATCCACTTGTTTGATACATATCACAGACAGTTGTATTCGGCGCTTAGGTCTTTTCTGCAATAAATTGCAGTTGCAATTGCAAAAATAAACAAGATAAAAATAAACAAGATAAAAATAAACAGGAAACACCTCAAGGAATTTAATATAGGGCGCCACTTGAGGTACCTAATTATACCTATTACAACCACTAGTTGTAACTTGGGAAGTAATTATAAAACATCAAAAACATATCTTTTTCAAATAAAAATCAAAAAAGGGTTAGTTAAACAAAAGTAAATAAGATGTTAAGAAAACAAAATTTAACATTTATTTTTGTGTGACCACAAACAGTTACAACATGGAGAAATACTAGAATACAAAAAACTTACGTGTGTCATCCGCTTACAAACTCCAGGAGTTGGAGATACTACATAAAACTTACAAATGTTACTGCATTACAATTTTTAAATGTTACAATTTCTAAATTTTAACGAAAGCAATTATTGTTCTAAAAAATATATCTGTCTTTACCTTGAAATTAAACAAATCAATAAACAGTTACCTGGATTCACATATTTCCACTTAACGAAAAGAAAAAAACTTGTTACACCCCTTTAGTATCTATCCGGACATCATCAGCGAAAAGCCTTATCCATTGGGGGCTGGAACTAGCACACTTGGAAAAACGGGAATTCTCAAAAAAACAGTAACTAAACTTGTTCAACTTTTCAAGGGGAACTAGACTTTTCAAACATCTTAAAATATCGAGCGAAAACTCCACTAATTTTGGCAAATTAATGCCGGTCACTTCATCATAGATAAAAATCCACCACTACTGCTACTTATTTCCCCAAAAGGAGCCAAAAAACAGAAAACTACAAATTCGACGACGAATTCGGATCCATACCTGAGCCTACAATGGCCCCAAGTAAGAATTTAGATCCTTACCTGACACTACGACGACCCAAGTATGAATTCTGGATTCATACCTGACACTACGACGACCCAAGCATGAATTCTGGATCCATACCTGACACTACGAAGACCCAAGTATGAATGAAGAACTTAAAAATTCGTTCATATAAATTGAAAACAAACAAAACTGTGAAATTACCAAAACACAAACGAAACGACGTAGATATCCTTTTGCGACGTATAAAAATTATAAGAAGACTTCGAATAAAACATTAAAAGAAATTGCCGAAGTAAATATCTTTAAAATAATAAATAACTCTGAAATGGTTTTATTACTTGGCAACGCTAAAATAATTGAAAACACTTTAGGGTATTTTAACTTGAAAAATACATTAAAAGATTTTTTAAACATATATAAGGCGATTTCAATATATTTCATATACGAGGGGATTTCAATATACACCAAAAAAATCAATGAATCTCAAATGCTACAGGTTTTTCACCTCGGATTAGAGTTACAGTGAATGAATTAATATGATCGATGTGGGATATTGTTTTTAAAACTATAAATTGCAATGTTTACCCAAAATTTTTTTGTGCACTACTTTTTATTGTTTAAACAAATTATTATAAAAAATTAATGTTTGACCATATATTTTCACTTTAAACAGTATTTTTTTTATTTATATGTTAACTCTTACCTGAGCAGACATATAGGAAAATTGTTCAAAGATACCTCTATAAAAATAGCAGTAGGGATCTCGAACAGGTAGGAAAACGTGGAGGGGAGAGCAGAGCGACAGCTGCTACATACAATGGAATTTCTCGGTTCTCCCAGTTTAATTATAAATGAAACGTACTCTATTGTGTACATTTAAAAAAAAAATAAGGTAATTAATTACGACTAATGAAAAGAAAAGAAAAAAATTATTAGTACTGTTTATTTAAATATATTACATTGTTGTCTACATCAAATAATATTTTCTTCTACTTCATTTATCTGTATAATAGGTGAAGAGTTGGAACAACTATTTCCAACTATTGGAACATGCTACACTGCAGTATAAACCACTTTTTCGGCATCAATATTAAAGATGTAAAGATCTTGTAGGCATAAAGATGATAATTATGTAGGCATAAAGTGAATAATGTAGATATGTATAAATCAATGTCATAGATTTGTGTATAAATAATTAAGTTTGTG